GTTGTTCAATTCCACATATTCAAGGTTTTATGGCTTTTTTTTTTTTGGTACTGGATTTACAGTTTAATAATATTGTTATCATAGGTGATACCATTAATTTAATCTTCATGAATTAATGGACATTTGTTTTATGACTCAAATTGTGATCCATCCTTGAGAAATAGAAGTGTACTAGAGAAGAATATGCACTCAGGTTTTAGGGGGTGTTCTTTCTTTCTTTCTTTCTTTCTTTCTTTCTTTCTTTCTTTCTTTCTTTCTTTCTTTCTTTCTTTCCTTTCTTTCTTCTCTTTCTCTTTCTTTCTTTCTTCTTTCTTTTTCTTTTCTTCTTCTTTCTACAAGCACTGGGTACAGTCAGAAGCATGGGAGGGTGAGAGAATTCACCAGAGCCAGAGCGGGGAGCAGAGCAGGCAGAAGGACCGAAGTACACTGCTGAGGGGAGCAGTGGGCGGCAGGAGAGGTCTGCGCACCATGTGGGATCCTCCTCCAGTGACCGGGGAGCAGCCAGGGATCGAACCGGCGCTGCAGAGGCTGTGGGCAGCCTCGCAACCCAGCGCTCAACCGCTGCGCCACCGGGGAGGTCCTAGGGGGTGTATTTTCTTATAAATGACAAATAGACCCATCCAGACTAATTGCTCAATTAAAGCTATTGTTTCTTTGTTGATTTTCTGTTTGGTTGATCTGTCATTGAGTAAGTGGGGTGTTGAGGCCTCCTACTACTATTGGGTTGCTGCCAATGACTGTTATTAGGTTTGTTAATATGTTTAGCAAATATGTTTGACTGTCTATGCTTTTCTTTCAGTCCCATTTGCTTATATTATTGATTTCAAACTATTGACTATGAGTATGTGTTTATTTTTGTAGCTTACATCTGTTTCCTGGAAGCAACAGAAAGCTGGTCATTGTTTTCTGATATAATCAGCCACTCTGTGGCTTTCATTGGCGAGTTCAGTCCATTAACATTTACAGTAATGGTTGCTATATGATAATTTACTATTGCCATTTAGTCCTAAGAATCTATTCTGTATATTTCTTTGTTTTATTATTTGTGGCTCTTCTTTCAACATTTTTGGAGGGGAGACCTAGTGTTTGAAAACTCTTTCAACTCTGTTTGTCTGTGAAGATCTTTATTTCTCCCTCATATCTGAAGGAAAGTCTTGGAGAATATAGAATTCTTGACAGGAAGTTTTTATATTTTGAATATTTTAAGTACATCATCTCATTTTCTTCTTGCTTATAACACTTCCTCAGATAATTCGTATGTAAACTTAATGGTACATCTTCATATGTTATCTGTTTTTTCACTTATTTGCCTTCAGTATTCTTTCTTTGTCTTTAATTTATGCCAGTTTCACTACCACGTGAATAAGTGTAAGTTTATTTATTTTTAGATAACCAGATGTTCTTTCAGCTTTACGTTGCCTTTTATATTTCCTTTCCTAGGTAAGGAAATTTTCACTCTATTATTTACTTTAATAGGTTCTCTGTTCCCCCATCTCTCTTTCCATTACAGGGTATCCATTATTCTTATGCTGGCCTTTTTTTTTTTTTTGATGGTTTCAGAAAGTCTATTATTGCTGTTTCTTCTTCTCCTTCTCCTTGTACTTCTTTCTTCTTCTTTTTTTTTTTTTTTTTTTTGCATCTTATTTGTCTCTTCTTCCACAAAGGTCCTTAAGTAGATTACTACCTTAAAGGTCATTAATTTGATCCTCCATTTGATTTAATCTACTTCCGAAGCTCAAGTTCCTTATCTCATTTATTACACTCTTTACCTCCTGAATTTTTTAATTTTCTCATTTGAAGCTTCAATTTCTGTTTTTCCTTCATTGATTTTATTCCTGAAATCCTTGTTTGTTTTTTTTTTATTTTATTGTTTCTCTTTGATTAAAATTTCCAAATTCTCTTGTATTTCTTTGAGTTTCCAATCTTAGTTTTCTCCTATCTTTTTGAGTTTCTTTATTAAAGCAGTCCTAAACTCACTATCGGATCAGGAGATAGACTGTTCTATCTCATTGTGAGTGGTTTCTGGGGAGTTGTTCTTACTTTGTGATTACATGTTGTCTTGAGGTCTCATGTTTCCATGTGTGTTTTTCTGCCCATTTTGCTATCTGAAATCTCCATATTTCATTATTATTTTTAATAACTTTAGCAGCAGTTTTAAGATTTTTACTTTTCCCACCATTGGTGCTATGGATTTGTTTCATTTTATTTTGTCCTTTCCTGTCTTTTGTATGTACTGGGTTCTATTTTGTAGTTATTGAGTCAGCATGGTGGGAAAGGGACTTAGAATGGTTCAGACATTAGTATAAATGAGTGTCTCTTGTTTGAACCACCCCTGATATCTCTATTCTCTGACATTTGTGATAAGACTCTCAGAAGTCTCTGTGCTCTTATTATGACTTATATGGTAAGCACCCATCCCAGAAGGTGAGAAGGGGATGTGTGTGTATGTGTGTGTGTGTGTGTGTGTGTGTATAAATGCCTGCTTTGTTATTTTATCTACTGGAAGCCGTTCTGTGTGGAGCACTTAAGCTTCTTCCACAAAGCTTTCCCCTCGTTCAAGGGTGTATTCCTCTACAAAACATCTGCTGTGACTTTCCCATACCCTTACTGAGCCAACAGCACTGTGACCAATGTCATCTACTCCCTGCCACAACTCCCAGATTCCTCTTTCCATATACCTTCTATAAAATACAGTGAGAAACTCCCTAGTGTCCACCCTGTTGAAGTCTGAACTGGTCAATGTTATCCGAGGATAATCAAAATCATCCTTATCTACAGGACTGTCTCTCAGACTATTTGTATGCTGCATGAACAATACAAAGTCTTTTATAAAGTCAAGCTTAGTCCTCCTATGGGATCTCTGTGAAACACTACTCTAATAATGCCATCCAGGTACCTTGCATAAATAGATTTATTAAAATTGTTTTTGAACAGTCTGAATGGTCTCACACCACAATTATAGCTTAATTACCTCTTTCTGTTACTTAACATTATAAACAATCTACTTTGAACGAGGGCCTTTGCTAGTTGCTAGGCAGATCAAGAGATATAAGAGTTACAAATTGAATCATAATGGTACTATCAACCCATCTCCAGGGCTACATAATTATAAAGAATTGAGATGCAAGCAACCTCTGGTATCTCTGGGTGTATGACAGTAGACCAAGTCCTTTAGGGGCACATTCGAAGGTGTGCTGATGGAAATACCAAAAGTAATGAGGTAAGGAGAATTCTTTCCCTTTGTGTGCCAGAAATAACAACCATGGGGATACTCAAAACATATCATTAATGAAAACCAAAGTTAAATAGAGGACTGATAAATGATCCAAAAAATTGTCTCAGTGTAGAAGGCAGTTCACACCAATGAGGCTTGAAACAAGGAACCAAATTTTCCTTTGTCAATAGAAAAACTATTCAGACCATCTAGATGATCCAGACCATCTAAATGATGCCAACTGTTCCCTCCACCTTTCCTTTATAGCCATATTAAGAAAGTTTTCCAATAACTTAAAAACTTTTAAAGACTGAACTTTAAGTTATACTCCAGATCACGAAGCTCATGTAGCATAGCAATAATAGAAGTTAAGAAAATCTTCAAAATTCAAATTCATGTCCATTTGACTTGCTAAGGTTTGAGCACAGAGTAAAAGCCAAATCAATGTGTACATTCAATGATGAACTTCTTGGAGACTAGAGTATTTTCACTCTGGGGTTTTATTACAGATCTAAAAACATTGATCGATTCACTTATATTTAAGTTTCAGTCTTTATCCTTCCTTGATCCAAAGTGATTATTAGGGAAATTAGATGTATAATATATCTTCAGGCAATGATTTAGAATTGAAAAAAATGCTGCATAATATTACTACAATTTATCATTTTCTGATTTTATTCATGGATATGTTGCAAATTTTCTCAAATATTTAATTGTCATTCTACAAATATTTAATGGGTCATGCAATGTACTAGTCACACCAGAATCAATAAGGAGATAAAAGCCATGGTCTATGGTTTAAAGAAATTAAATTGTAGGCATGGATGAATACTCAGCTCCCAAATATGCTGAGAAAACTAGGCAGTGTCAAATTGCTGCCCATTCAAAATAAGTAATTACACAAGAAAAGAAAGGAGGGATGGCGGAGGCTCCATAGACTGGTAGTTCAGTTAAAAAAATAGTAATTTAAAACTTGAAATTTTTGTTTTACGTAAAAAGAGCAGCCCCCAAAATGTGTTTTATCAGTGCCATAGCATTTATTTGCATGTGTTCTCTCCCACTAGGAAACTTTCAGCTGAAAGAGTCAAAAAATGATCACTGACTTCAAACCTATGTGTTCTTCATCCTCATTTTATCCTTCTCAATAAATTTTCCACATCAAGAAAAAAGAACTTTCTGAAGATGAGGCATTACTCTGAAAAGCAATGAGTGAATAGTCCTGATTATGTGACATTTTCTAAAGGGAGAAATAAATCAGTGGCTTTTGAGAAGAAATTCAGTATAAAAATAGTATTATAACACCTTCATCTCTGAAAGTCTATTTAAATTGTTTTCAAAAACCCTTAACTCATAAACCATGTTATTTTTCAGTTGCATGTAATTTTGAATTGCAAGTGTTTGCTTGTCATTCCCCTCAAGAGACACTTTTTTTTGAGGTCAGAGAATGGGAAGGGCCTTAGTTTGCTGCCTGGGAATCAGGCACACATAGGTGCCCCTCAGTGCTCCAAAATTTATGAATGGTTTCTACTATCTTATTCTTCGCACTTTATAAAAACATCTGGAACCAAATCAAAACAAAATAAAAGTCATTTATTTTTTAGTTCAATTTATTTAGATTATTAAACTTTCCTTTTAAAACTTCACCTCAGGTTGAATTTATTTATGCTATTTCTTTTAGCAAGAGTTGGAGACTTGCTTGATAAACTAAATATCTCAAACATTGCTAACTTATAAATGTTTATTCAGCATTAGATAATGATTTCATATTTTTAATTTTTAAATTATTTTAAATATGGAATTCTCACAAATTTGTGTGTCATCCTTATATAGGGGCCATACTTTTCTTCTCTGTAGTTTTCAATTTTAGTATATGTGCTGCCGAAGTGAATACTAGATGATGATTTTAACTTTAAAAAGTAGAAAGTAGACAGTGTAGAGACATCATCAACATGGCAGCGAGGAAACGCTGCTGAGTAAGACCTACCATAAAAAAAAAGTTCATAGCGAGGAAAAGCGGCAGGTCCCTGAGAGAACTAGGACACGGAAGATAAACGGGCAACTCTGGCAAATTGCCTGAAGAAGAAAATTGCCATAAAAGAGGACTAGAAGGGAGGAAAGCTCAGACCCTGCTACCCTCCCCCATCCACAAAGTCGGCAGTCTCCGACCAACAGAAAAGAGGGAAAAAAAAAAAAAACTAAAACAACCATCAAGAACAAAATAAACATCAAGTGGGATGGTGAGTGGAAAGGGACTATTTCAGCGACCGCACCCTGTGAACTGGAACTGTGGAGAACCATGCAGGATTCGCAACCGAGGTAAGCGGGCTCCAGGTGCCACTGGAGAAAAATAAAGACTCCCAGGAGACCTACAAATAGCCCAAGGCCAGCCGGGAGAAGAAAAAAATATAAATAAACAAGCAAGCCAGCAGGAGGACACACCACAAAAAGAAACACAGTCACCAGAGCTCAAAGATGACATGGAAGAACTTCCAGGCCTATCAGATAGAGAATTAATAATCATCCTGATTAAAAAGCAGAAAGAAACAAAAAGGAAAAAAAATGATTTGAGACAAATAATCACTGAACTGAAGAATGAAATTGAGACCTTAAGGAAGGAAAGAAAAGAAATGCAGAAGATAAAAAGATTACTAGAAGAGATAAAGAACTCTGGGAAAAGCAATGAAAACAGGCTAGATGAAATGGAAGAATGGATCAGTAATATCAAAGATACAGAAATAAAAAGAGCCATAAGTGGGCCTCCCCGGTGGCGCAGTGGTTGAGTGCTGGGTTGCGAAGCTGCCCACAGCCGCTGCAGCGCTGGTTCGCTCCCCGGCCGCTCCCCGGCTGCTCCCAGGCCACCGGAGGAGAGTCCCACATGGCGCGCAGACCTCTCCTGTTCCCGCTGCTCCCCTCAGCAGTGTACTTCGGTCCTTCTGCCTGCTCTGCTCCCCGCTCAGGCTCTGGTGAATTCTCTCACCCTCCCGCGCTTCTGACTGTACCCAGTGCCTGTATAAATTAAATAAATAAATAAATCTTTATTTAAAACAAAAAAAGAGCCAAAAGAGAAAAGGAGAGAGAAGTGCAAATGAAGCAGTATGAGGAGACTCTTAGACAATTATCAGACTCCATGAAGAGAGGAAATGGAAGAGTTATAGGCATTCCAGAAGGTGAGGAGAGAGACAGAACTGAGAGAGAACTGAGGAGAGAACTCAGAAATTATTCAAGGAGATAACTGAAGAAAACTTCCCAAACATGATAAAGGAGATGAATATAGACATAGAAGAAGCAAGAAGAACTCCCAATTACCATAATGAAAAGAAAACTATGGTAAGACACCTAATATTAAAGCTTGCAAGAGTACAGGAGAAGGAAAAAATAATGAAACTGGCAAGGGGGAAGAAACAGATAACTTATAAGGGAAAACCAATCAGGTTAACTTCTGACTACTCCAAAGAAACATTACAGGCAAGAAGAGAATGGAGTAACATATTCAGCAAACTTCAACTCAACAAATGCCAATCAAGAATACTTTACCCTGCAAAGCTCTCCTTCCTCTAGGAAGAAAAAATGTGGATGTTTTCAGAAAAACAGAAACTCCAGAAATTCATTACAGCTAAACCACCACTCTAAAAACTTCTACAAGAAGTCCTAAAGCCAAAACCAACAGAGGAATGAACAAGAAGAACAGAATAAAGCGAGGAATAAAATCACAAAAAAGACAAACAAACTGGCAAGCACAGAGGCCAACATATCAATATTAACTCTAAATGTAAATGGATTAAACTCATCAGTAAAAAGACACAGACTAGCAGACTGGATTAAAAAACAAAATCCAACCTTCTGTTGTCTCCACGAAACAGATTTAACCACAAAAGATAAACACAGACTGAAAGTAAAAGGTTGGAAAACAATCCTACACACAAATGGACCAAAATTGGTTATTAAATAACACAATTTAAACCAACTGACTTGGAAACAAAAAAGCTATCCTGATTTTCATATCTCAGAAAAGAACTTTATATTGGTCAATATAATCTATAGCTGTAGGCACATAGGCTGTTCTTACAAAAAGCAATGTGCTTTATATGGGTTGGTAAGAGGACGTAAGGGTAGGCAAAGTATTCTGTGTATCTGGATTCTTGTTGTTATTAATTATTCATTCATTTTAATGGACAGTCAAAATATTTCTGCTAATTAGTTTGCTGAATCTCATAAAATTTCTGTGAAGTAAGAGCGGGGCTAGTTTTATAGCTATAAAATCTGTAATCAGAGTCATTGATTTTAGGAATATTTATTCTCCCAATTCATGAACAAAGTCTGTCTTTCCATTTATTACTGTCTTCTTCCATTTCTTTAACAGTGACTTATAGTTTTTATTGTATAGAGCTTTCATCACTTTTAAGTTTACTCTCAAGTATTTTTGATGGGATGGTAAATCGGACTATTTTCTTAAATTCCCTATCTTCTAATTAATTGTTTGAGTATAGAAATGCAAATGATTTTTATATATCCGAAACATTACTTCAATAAAAATATTTAAAAATCAAGTCTTGAGAAAATCAAATTATTCCCTTAATAACATACTTGCATACCAAAATTAATCTTAACACTTCTTAAAATAATAAAACAGAATCCATTACTCAAAAGCAGCAAATTCGATCATCAAGTACACAAACAGATAAATATAATCTATAAGCTAGAGAAAAATTAATAATCAAAACCAGATTCATAAATAGCAAAGATAATGGAACTAGCAGATCAAAGTGTTAAAACTGGTTTTATAAATCTGATAAATATATACTCATATTGATGCTTCAGTCAATGACATATTGCAACCATGATGATCCCTGAATAAATACTATACATTATAAATACTATGATGATCTCTGTATAAATACTATGCATTTTATACTTAAACGATTAATTAGAAGAAAGAATTTAAGAAAACAGTACCATAGATAAGTGTAAATATCATAGCAACAAAATTGTCTAATGACTCACCAATCACAACATATCCTTATTAAGTGACATGTGACTGTACACTCAAAAGGAAATCATGAACATGGTAAGGGGAGTAATGACAAATGTAAAATACACATATGGAGCTTCAAAAATAAAAAAAATCTGAAATGAAAAACACAGTAGTTGAGAGTAATAGCAGATTATAACAGAAGATCAAGGATCTTGAAGAAGCAGGAATAGAGCATACCTAAAGTGAAGTGCAGAAATGAAAACAAAAATTAGCAACAGATTAACTTGTAGAACAGTATCAGGTAGCCTAACACTTGTGACTGGGGTCCTGGAAAAATGTAATTCAACCCATAAGAATATATGAATGGATGAGCTTTAATTGAGTCAAAGACCCGAATACAAGCCCTACAACTACACAAATTCTGGAAGAAAATATAGGGGAAAATTTTTATGATCTTGGGTTAAGCAAAAATGTTATAGTATACAAAATAATATAAAAGCTTTATGAATTAGAGTTCATCAAGTTATAACCTTTCAGTTTTTTAGTTATACTGTTAAGCAAAGAAGGCATGTCACATACAAGGCACAAATATTTGCAAATATTTATCTTAGGTCTTGAATCTAAAATACATACAGGAAGGACACTTATAACTGAATTATGTTAAGTCAAATAACGCAGTTTAAACAATGGGCAAAAAACTGGACAGATACTGACTTTTGTTCTTTACAAGGAAACAATCTTACAAATAACATGGGATCCCCATGATATGGCTCATACAGTTTCATTTTTCAAATTACTTTTTCTTTACCTTGTTCCATTCTTTTGTTCTTCAAGGACAATACTGTTTCGTGTTTTCAATAACATTACTTCTCTCCATTGCTTCTGTTTGTCTGCTACTAAAGCTTTCAATTGTGTTATTTAATTCAGCAATAGTGCTTCTTGCTTTCATTATTTCTGAGTGCAGCTGCCAAACATTTTTTTATCTTTATCCTGTTGTTGTTTTATACCTTCTGCTGTTTAAGTTCCATCAGCATTACGAGGATTGTTGCCCTGAATTACCTTCCTGTCATACACTGCAACTCCGTTGAGTTCAGAGGCTCTTTCCAGTGTATTTTTATTGCTGATCTGGCATTTGCACCATGTTTTTCTGTTTCCTCATTTTTTATTTGTGTATTTTAGTAGGGATAAATTTTCAGTTTTTTTTTTTTTTTTTGGTTGTTGGAATAGATGAGGGACTGGTACCTATGAAGTTTAGTAAGTTTAGAAGAGGACTGAATAAATAAGCATCGAAGAATCTCCTCTGGTAAACTCAACAATTTGAAATTCCTATTGGAAAGCATTTCTTTGTGAGGGGGTAACAAGTGTTTGAGATATCTCATCCTTGGATATGGGTTTGTAGGTATTTTTGGAAGTCTCAGCTTGGGCTTGAGAGTGGCAAGTCTATCAGATATCTCAGCTTGGAATTCAGTAGCAGTTTCTTTTACATGGACATCCAAATGATCTGACCTTATGCAGGCTATAGCTGATCTGTGGAATGAGCCTCAGATTTAAGCCTGTAGTCCTTGCTCTGTGTCCTTACCTCTGTAGCTCCCTCTAAAATGCATATTCTGTCCTAGGTGCCTGCTCATTCACCTCCTTATTCAGTGCAGTGTCAGGTCTTAGGAAACCCCAATATTGGAGTGTGTCTAAGTAAATTATTGTAAGGTGTTCTGAATTGTAGTTATTCCTCCCTTTTGAGTGTTGTGGTGACCCATTATAAATTTAAACAAAGTTTACTTATAGTTTTTTTGACCCCTTGTAGTCAGGCTGATGCTCCAATTGTGTAAACTGATAATTTTCCCACAGAAGTTTTTTGCTTTGTTTTGCATCAGTTTTGTTGTGTGTGTTTGAAGGAGGTAAGCCAAGTGTCTTTACTCTGC